AAAGACTGGGACTTCTACTCATGCTTGAGCTTAAGGGGGAAAAATAGCCCGCCGAGCTGTCACTTGTAAGAGCAGCTTGTAAGAGGTAGGAAGCGAGCTTGGCCTTTTTCTTCTCCCTGCAGTAATCACGTGGTTAAACAAACAGCTGAATGAAATTCAGATGGCAAAGAAGCTGGAGACTTCGGCCAGTACACATGGTGCTGGTCGGACTGCCATTTCCCCTCATGGCCTGGTAAGATACAACTGTAAATAACATGGTTATGAGGTAGTCATCATTGCCTGAAATGTATGGCCTTAGAAGGGGCGGAGGGGAGCGGAAAAAGTGCTTTCATCTTCTTGGGGTGCTATAGTTTTGGGTGTGTGTCGGGTTTTTGTTTGGGTTTTTTCCTTTTGTTGTTTTGTTTTGTTTAGGGTTGTGTGTGGCGTTCGTTTGTTTGTTTAAATAACTTAATACCCTGCTGGGTGCTAGTTGATGCCCTGGCCTTCTCGGTGAGAATTTTCTAAGCTCTCACTTATTAAAATATACAAAACAATGCAAAATTAGCTTGGAAAAGATGAAGGGTGGGGGGGGAAGGTGGCATTTTTGTGTTGTGAGGTTAAATTACATACTAATTATCTTTGTATAGGTTGAAAAAGAAAGTGTACTATTTGAATACTCTTATTAGTGATATTTAGAAATATGAAAATAAGGGGTGAGAAACATCACCTCCTAGCTTTGGTAAATACCGTAGCTTACTGGTTCTCACGCTTTGTTGTCCCCGTGTGTACAGCTGGCTGTTGTCACCTAGCAATTGATGAGCTGCTTGTTCGGTAGTGGAAGGGCACGTTCATGCAAAGAGGTCTCTGATTTATTGCTAGATACATTTAATAATCAGTTACAGGGTGTGTAGCTTGTTATGAACTTGTAATTATTAGCCAGGAGTGCTCAACTCATCTAACTTTTAAGAAGTTAAAAGTTTTCCTTAAGAATGTGAATCTTCCCATCAGGAAGACTCAAACGAGCGTTAGCTTTGTAGTTGTGGTTAGTTGTTAATTCTGGAATTTTGAATCTCTACAAATTGTTTTCCCCTTTATGGATGTATTCTATTTCTCTTACAGTCTGACCGACCATCCTTTCCCAGCTCAGGAATCAATCATCCCATTTCTCCTCTGTATGCCTTCCAGAACTTTCCAGAACCAGCCCACAACAAAAATGTCAATTCACAATGTCCAGTACCAAAGGCAAGCACTTTGACTTTTCTGTTTGGTTAAGAATGCAATAACATAAAATATCAAAGCTTACCGCTTTGAGTATTTCTCAAAAGGCATAAATATTTACTGTACATCCTAGTACTCTTAAAGTCCCCATCTTGAACGCTGTCACTATTAGCAAAAGCTAACGCTCGGGTTTAGGGCGCTCACTCCTGTGTGCTTTGCTGTACAGAAGGGCTACGCGAGGTACAGAAGCGTTAACCCCGAGCGGTTCGCTCCGAATGCACTGACTGGTGGAGTGGTAGGGCCGGGGTCGCTCTCTTTAACCTGCAACTCTTGCCTTTCTGCAGATTCACTTTAACACACAGCTTTCGAAAATGAATCGATGTTCAGACGTTCAGACAGTGACTGCGACTGGTCATCCAGCAAATAAGGAGAAGTAAGTGTCATCTGGTGCATTTTTAGTGGGGTTTTGGTTTTTTTTATTATTAATTTTATAAAGCCATTTCTCTTCTATGTGTGTCTGGAACCGAGCAGAACACTTCCAGTACCAGGCTAGTTCTGTGATCTGCCTTTCCCATCAACACATTAATGAATTTTAAGTTGTGGCAGACTTAATTGGTCACTAAGCAGGGCTTGTAGGTAACAAATGAAGAGCCGTGCTTTCAGGAGTAGGTCCAAAGGAACAAAAGTTCATTGTCCCTCCTGGTGACAGACCTAAGGCTGTCAGGTGATGGGTCAGTCCAAAAATGAGTTCTGGGCTGTTCTCGACCTACTCGGCGATGGTGTACCTTTAAATGATAACGTTCATAGGAACGCAGCAGTTCCACTTCAAGTTAAGATTTTTCTGAATGAGTCTGTATCTGTGCTTGTTGCTAATGCAGTGCTAACTACGCTTGTTTTAGATTTTAATTAGCCTTTTTATTTCTAGTGGTGATACGCTGGGGCTGGACTCAAAGTATTTCAAGAAAAAAGATGACAGCATTCCTTTACGAGGGCTTAGTCAAAATACACTTAACTCAGGTATGTATGGGAACAGTAAAACAAGACCTTCTTTGAAATGTACTTAAAGGGTATTAATAGTTACGGGTCTGTGAACATATCTTGTTTCTGCTGTTCCACAGAGTACCTGAAACCGTACTTGGCAACAAAAGCCCAGCCGTCACCGAAAGCTGCGGTAACACCAGCCTCCGCTTATTTTCCTGGATAGTAGACAGGGGCCTTACAGTAAGAGCCTTCTGACCGTCTGGGGATTTCTGGATGGCCTGTACTAATGTCTTAGTGAAGTGTCAATGGGAACTGATGTAATTTGGTAAATCTGAATCTTGTTTTCTTTGAGAGACATATCTTGACTGACTTGGATGACTTCTCAGGATACTTGAGCCTAAAGACAAAACTTTAAGCAGCCTCAGCCGTAGGGGGAACAAGAAGTCAGCAGGGCTGTGCAGAATTTTTCTCTTGGTATAACTGGAGACCCCGCAGTCTTCCTAAAACCCCACTGACATGCACTGGTGTTACAGGAGTGGACAAGGGTGGCTCTGTAACGGGTGAAATGGATGCTCCAGCATTCCCTGAGAGAGAGCATGTCCCTGTGAATCCTTTTCTTGACTCCTTTCAGAGAAAGGGTGATGCAGATAGAAAATGCTGGAGAAGAGGGATGCTGTCCAGTTTAATGGTCAGGCTCACAAGTTAGCGTGACCGCCTCGCTAATCCTCCCTTACAGTTCTAATGTTAAAAACTTGCTTAATTTTGGAACCCGCTTATTTGAATTGCATATAGACTTACAAAGATATTTAATATTAAAGATGCTAAATTATTTCACTGAAGGTATAAAATTATAATTTAAAAGCCTCTTGGTTACCCTGATGTTTCTATGAATCTGTCAGTATTATGGTCCACAGGCCACCATGCATAAAACACTGTAAGGTGAGGTATCTGAACAGGTAACTGTTGAAAATATTGCAACACCTAGCAGTGACTTTATTTTTACTGATCGTTCTTTACAACCGTAAGAGTGTACAGAAATTTAAGATAGTTTAACACTCGAGTTTAGGTGGCCTGAGTCTGTTCAGCTTGTTCTACCTGGCTTCAAATGCTAGAATCATGCAACAACCTCATTCTTTATTTGGTGTCCCCATAAAGAACTGGGATTTGTAACATACAAAATACACTTTTTTAAGGACTATTTACATACTTTTGCTGTTAAAGAGATTTTGTACCTTTTACCTTAGTTATTTAAGTGCATCCAGAGGATTGTATATTTAATAGTTAAGTGGTTTGTTTTGCAGTGCAAAATGTGTATATTTGTTTATAAATCAGCACTATGTTAATGTGGAGTCACTTGTTTTGGCATGTGTAAGTTCCAAGGGAAATATTAAATGGTTTTTAACAAAACATTACTAATCCGAGTTTTTAAGAATGCTGAAGCACTGTCTCCACTGTACTGAAATGCCAAGAGGAGGAAAGTGCTGGAATGGTACTGTTTTATTCGCCTCACCTTGTTCTGGAGCTTTCTTCCCAGCTTATTCATTTCCACGCGAGGCAGTGCCCCTGGCCCAGCACTGTGACGCACGTACAAGCCCCCGCTGGCAGCCGCCGCGCTCTAAGGTCTGTGCTTACGCTACTGTTTCTAGTTAAGGTTTAGGAGGTGTTAAGGTGAATTGGGTCTACTTCTCTTGAAGCATGGATAAGCTGCTATCAAACAGGAAGCTGGTAATTACAATTAAAAAACAGCTCCCAGGCCTCTTCAAATCTAAAATGAAACAAATCTAAACTGCAGCAAGGCTGGCGTGGGGCGGGCCGGCTGCCTCTGTTACCGACCCCCTCCTTGCAGCTACCCTGCGCTGCACCTCCCCCC